AAAACTATTTGATAAAAAGGTCTAACCACAAAACATAGAAACGAGGTTGGCAATTTTTTTACCGACCTCAAAGACTTTCAGGCCGGGCATATTTGTAGCTATGCTGCTACTTTACGTTTCTTTTATTCAGCGTGATCGTTTCAATGCCAACCCTAACTCCGAGGGTTGTATTAAGGTGAGTTTCCACTTGTACGTTTTTGTACGGAAACGGGATAGGAATGGGGAAAAATAATCACGTGAGCATGCGTAGCTTTCATTCAGACAAATTAAAACTTTTACTATGCATGCCTTCATGATTATCTTTCCCTGTTCCCGTGAAAAAAACGGATGAGTGGAAACTCGCCTTTAAAGGTATTCAGTTCTCAAATTTAAGAATATTTTAATCATCCGCATTTCATCAAAATTAACAGAATTCATAACAAATTTTTCGGTATTTTTAAGTTACATCGTTATCATATATTAAAACCCCCTTAAAATGAGAGGTTTGTACAAAATGTTTTCAGCTTTAGAACTTGACAGTGCTCAAAGTTGCCAGAAGTAGCCGCCAAAACTAACTATACCTTAAAGTAAACATGTTAATCATTTGTTGTATATACTTATAAATGTGTTTTCTTTTGTTCCAAAAATGGTTATATATACCTCTCTAATAATTATAATGAAGATTTTTTACACATTATTTTAAACAAAAACAAAAAAAAAGGTAATTTACATTTATATTTTGTTATTATTGCAAGAAAATAACAAGCTATGAATATATTTCAAAATTTATTAAAAAAAAAACGCAACGAATAAAATTAATCTTAAATTTGTGAAGAAATAAACTTAAACATATTTTTTTATTGAATTTTTAGTTGTTTTAAATATCTGAAAAAGACCCCTCTTTAATTTGTAACTGTAAAACAATTTTTGAGTTATAAAAAGTATACTATCCTTTTTAGAAAAGCCATGATATATATTATACACATATCTAAAAAAATACTGTTTTTAAGAACATCAATTTTTTGACTTTTGCTACAGCCTGGCCAACTAAGTATTGATAAACCTGCATGTTGACTATATTTAACCGAAATGATAAAAGAATCACCCTTCATGATATACGTGAAAAGAAAACTTTTCACAATGCCACACCACAGGCACTACTAACATACATCAAAGTGTTAGCTGAAGTTTTACTCAGAACAGGGCCGTCCTGATAAAATTTTAAAGGATGGGTGGGGGGGGTGACGTATTGTTTTTTGACTGACTACAGCCAAAAAACACTTTTTTGCTGACTCAAATCTAAAATAAAATAAAAATAAGGGCCTCATCAGCTGACATTTGCCCACTGCCAATTATAGAATCAAGTTTGCCGGCTCCACGGTCTAATATGCCGACTAGTAAATTTAGTAAAGGGGTTTGACACCCTTACCTCCCCCCCCCCCTTAGAACGTCTCTTACCCAGAAGTGTCCACAAAAGGCAATGCTTTTTGAATACGCGACCTATCTCAAAACTTATGTTAAATCAACATCAAATGATTGTTCTTTGCGAAATTAAATAATACAACTTACATTTTACTTACTTACAAAGTAAAGTATAAAATTTCAAAGACAAAATTTACTTTTATTTGTAATTGTAAATAACAATTTTTTTCAAATTTCTTTTATAAAAGCTACCTTTGCTAGTTAGTTACTTTTACACATAAAACTTTTATATGTAAAATTAACTAATTATTTATAAATTAATCTTATGTATTTATAATATTTAAAAAACTAACACTTTCTATACAAAGTAAAGTAAAACTACATCATAAAAACAAATTACTTATATTGAGAGTTATTTGTTTTTATGATGTACTTTATAAAGTGTTATGGTTTTTAAATATTAACAGGGGCTATTCTTGGATAAAATATGGGCGGCGGTAATGCAAATTACTTTTACTTTTAAAAATAAATTACTCTTTTAAGTAGCAATTACTCATTTTAGAAACTAAATTTAAGTAATTAAGTTTTACATATTATATAATTTATGTAAAAAAAATGAATTACTTTTAAATGTAAGTAAATTATATATTTATAATATGGGCTATGTGAAGTAACTTATGCATTTAATATAATTTATGCTTAAAAATAATTAGCGTTTTTACATCAAAATAATTAAAAGAATATTAAAAGCATCCCCACGTTTTAAGTTATTTTAACATTTTTTTATAAATTTCACTTATATAAAACATTTTAGAACCAAATTATTTATAAGTATATTTCTTTTATTTTCTTTTATTTTTTTTTTTTTTTACTATTTTATAATTACTTCTTGTTCCCTAAAAATCAACAATCCAAGGCAAGCCAGTAAAAAAAATATATAAAAATTGACAATAACTAAGGATAAAAAAAAAATTTATAAAGCTTGTCTCTTCGCCCTAATATTTGCACGATGCAAATAACGCCATTTCTTTAAGAAAATATTTTTAAACTTACTTTATTTTTAATTTGTACCAAAAATGAGAAATCAAAAAAACATTACCTCCGCAAAAATTGGTCCACAAACATCTTTTGGACAATGAAGTTTTCCTGTTCGACAATAGTTTAAAATATTTTGAAAGCATCCTGGATGTCTGTCAAAAAAAAATTCATCTACGTCTTCACCAAAATTTGCCATTTTAATTGCCATTTCTGCAATCCAAAACAATCGAGTGTCTGGAAAGTTTTGTAAGGTTTTTATAAAACATTCATGTCTAGTACCGCCAACATTAATAAATACTCTGTCAACATTCTGTTTATTGCAGTCATACACTTCTTCTTGTTTATGCATTTAACAAATGTTATTCTTTTATTTTATTTAAACGACTTTACTTACAAAACTAGTTAAAACAAAACAGTTTTAACAAAGTTTTTAAAAGTTTTTTTTTTTTTTTTTATTTGAATCTATGATAAAAATTAAAATAGAAAGCATTTTTATTAATGTTATTAACAATATACTTAAATTAAGTAAGGGTAGAAGGGGCGGATATAGGATTTTTTGGTGCTTGAGTTAAATAACTTTCAGGTAAGTTCTAAACTCCAAACTTTTTTATGCTCATACTTATGTCTTTTAAGAATGCTTTGTCAAAATTGCGTTGATTAGAATCTGGGGACAAATATACCCTAAATAGTAGGCATCACCCGCCCAAATGAGAGGGGAAATGGTTATTTGAAAGAAAAAAAAGTTACTTCCTTTAATAAAATTAAAATTTGTATCTATATTTAAAGTTTGATCAAAAAATCATCTAGCGTTCAAAAGTTATAGCCATTTAAAGTTTAGAGCCCCCCTCAAAACGAATTGGGTTGTAAATTTAAACTTGGTATATTTTCTAAACAATATAATATTTTTCAAAAAAAAGTTTAAAAGCTTAACGATATTACCACCTAATTTATGTATAACGATATTTATGTATAACGATATTACCACCTAATAAAACTTATATTTAGAAAAACCGATTCCCCACATTTGGGCGGGTGATGCCTACTTTTTAGGGGTTTTTTGTTCCCAGGCTCTAGTCAGCGCAATTTTCGGAAAATCATCCTTATATGACTAAAGTATAAAAATACAAAAGTTTGGAGTTTAGAACTTAACTAAAAGTTATATAACTCAAATACCAAAAAATCCTTGATCCGCCCCTGGGTAGTTAAAAATAATGATTTAGTAACATCTTTATATAAGAAAGTGTAGACAGTAAATGTGCAAAAAATTAATATACATGTAAATGAGTGTGTTTGTGTATATATATATATATATATATATATATATATATATATATATATATATATATATATATATATATATATATATATATATATATATGTGTGTGTGTGTGTGTGTGTGTGTGTGTGTGTGTATGTAAATATATATATATATATATATATATATATATATATATATATACATATATATATATATATATATATATATATATATATATATATATATATATATATATATATATATATATATATATATATATATATATATATATATATATATATATATATATATATATATATATATATATTATATATATATATATATATATATATATATATATATATATATATATATATATATACATGTATATATCAATGAGAAAGAAGAAAGCATGAATTAACTTTATCATCAAATTCCATTTAAAATATATTTAACAAATCCATAGCATATAAGAAATATGCATAAACAACAATTGTAACAGTTTTGAAAGTAAAAAATTCATTAAAAAAAACTCGGAAATTTAAAATGCTTACCAACGTTCTAACATTTCAGAACTAAATAAACAATAATTATTGAACAATTGAATAAAAAAATAGTAAGATTTACTTTAATCTAACTATTTTTTTAAACAATTTACTAAATTGATTAAATGTAATTATAGTATCCTTTTTATAATTATTTCCCTTTTCTTTTTTTTTTCTTTTTTTTTTTTGATTATTTTGCGGCCCCTGTATTCAGAAACGATTCAAAAAATAAAGTAAAGGGAAGATATACATTTTAAAAACTTAATTCTTTTAGAATGGGTTTGCTTAATATATGAGTTTTCTAATGAACTTTCATCATTAGGGTCAGCGCGAGTAGGTATCACGTGGGGATGGGGGGGGGGAGTGCTATTACAAATTACTAAACTGCCGACTAAAAAAATTAAGCAAAAAGAAGGCCTTCTTTTTTTGAAATTTGCCGACTGACTGTCTAAATTTGCCGACTGGCGTAGTTAAAGAGTCTACATTTGCCGGCTGACTTGTCTGAAAGAACCAATTTTGCTAAACAAACAAAAAAATTAATTGATGGGTAGAGGTGTGTCACAACCTTCCCACACATACCCTCCCCTCCCCCTCTCCTCTACACATACACACCCTACTTCCTTCACGCCGGCCTTACTCAAGATAAATTTTTGTCAAAATTAACATCTTAATAATTAGCAGATGTTCGTCTATTATCATTGTTTTTATTTTATTTTAAAATTACATAATTTTAGAGAAATACTCTCTGTTTTATTTGATTTAAAATTAAATCATTTTAGAAAAATACTTTCTGTCTTATTTGATATATAAAGTAGAGTAAACTTATTTCTTATACCGTTTAGCGAGAGTCTATTACACCTAAACTGTTTGTTTTCTCTTTATTACTTTAAAGAAGTTTAAAGCTCGATTGCAGCCTAATCAGTTAATTGGTTTTTTTAAAAAGCCAAACAAGCTTGTTGTTCACCGTGTTGTTTAACATTGAATAACCTGATTGAACATTATACGTTTGAATAACTAGCATGGTAGAACCATAGTCTGTAACTATGAAAATTTAATTCGGCATAAATTGTACCTAATGTAAGAAAAAATTTTATATTTTAAATACAACTAGTTTTTTAAAATCAGGTAATTCCAAACAGATTCTGAAAGTTAAATGTTTTTTTTATAACTTATTGCGTTATTATTTAACGCCTTATAACGTTTCCTTGTTAATATGAGTAAAGGGTTCTCAAACTTTTCCTTTTCTAAATAGCATTCAAATCTTCTATATTCTATATTTAATATTTTGCAGATTACTATGTTTGAATATTTTAAACATTTGAATGGAGTTAACTTTTTATAGAATCTCTCTCTAAAGTTTTCAAATTAAACTTTTTTATATTTAGTTTTTATTTTAATATAATCTTTTTATGATAATCTCATCATGGTGACCTCATTATAATAATCTCATTAAGATGATCTCATTATGATCAATGATCTTTTATATAATTAGATGTCTAACTTCGATCCAAAAAGTTATCTCGTTTTTTCCCCTTTTTACAAATGGCGGATTAAATTTGTAAACAAATATTTTTAACTTTTTTTTCTTAAATAAAGTAAATATATTTTAAATTTAAATACTATTTACGTAAAAGTTTTAAGCGGAAATTATAAATCCTATCCTAACACTCGTATTTTTCCTATTAATAAAAAACGAGATAAAAAATAAATTGTAGAAGAATTTAGACAAAACTTTAGTACCATTCTCAACACTCCCACAATTACCAACAACAACAACAAACACCGTCGTATTCCACAACTCATTGATGAGCCTAATAAAATTCTTGTATCGACTTCCGACATCGAAACTTGTATTCTTAAGCTTAGATCTAATAGATCACGTGATTCATGCGGAATTACTGCAGAACATCTTAAATACTCCTATAACAACAATCTACTTACATGGCTTTCAAAGTTTTATAACAATATCTTCAATAATGGAGCGGTGCCGAAGTACCTATCAACATCTATAATTGTTCCAATAGTGAAATCCTATAAAAAATCTCTTGATAATCCCGATAACTATCGCGGAATTAGTGTCGTGCCAATTCTGACAAAGCTCTTTGAATATATTATTATGGAAAAATGTCCGGAAATATCAGATAGCCACTCTCACCAATTTGGCTTCAAACATAATAGCTCCACTCTTCATGCAGAGTTTCCTTTAAGTGAAACAATAAAATACTACAATAACAATAATTCATCAATATATATTTGTAGTTTAGATGCAAATAAGGCTTTCGATAGCTGTAACTGGGAATTCTTGTTTGAAAAACTTTATAACAACAAAAAATTATCGCTATCAGTAGTTTGCGCACTACAATCACTATACCTATCGGGTACTGCTAGTATATCATACCTTGGGCATAAATCAAATCATTTCCGTTTGTCTCAAGGCGTGCGACAAGGATCCATTTTATCACCACATTTATATAATTTATACACTCAAAGTATATTAAATCAAATTGTTTCAGATTGCAAAGTTGGAACAACGATAAGTGGGGTGTACACCGGTATTATAGCTTATGCAGACGATATAATCCTACTAAGTCCTACTCTGTCTGGTTTACAAGAATTAGTTAATAAAGTTCAGTCACAATGCCAAAATTTGTTGTAATAATAATTTACTTCTTAATAAACTAGACGCTGTTGGAAGGTCAGCATTAAAATTCCTATTTAGTATATCGAAGAACAGCAAAAACTACCTGCATCCCTTCTTTAAAATTGATGACATATCTACCATCCTTATTCGAAACAAATTAAATCTGTTTATCAGACTACTGAACAATCCAACTTGTTTTTCCCTAATTTTGGCTCAGATATCTGATGTTACTAAAGATAACCTATTTATCAACGAAGTAATAAAAATTTGCAATCAACTTGAGCTAAATTTTGTGCAGTGTTTGATAGAGGGTGAAAAAATAACGGTAAAACGTTGCTACGATGATGTAGGAGAAAATTTAGCGGCATTTTTGAACCATTCTTTTGAATTCTGGAATATCAGAGAACAAAGACTGGTATTTACTAAGTTGATGGAGGAAAACATCCCAAGAAAAATTTAAATTTTTTACACTAAAAGTCTAAACTATTAGTTTTATACAATTTGTTTTTTTACCTGTAACTTGGGTGATAAAAAGAATAAATAAAAAAAAAATAATAATAATACTTGTAAAATAATAATTTAATAATAAAACTTTAATCCCTTTATTTATTTTTAATTAAAAAGGGATTAAAGTTTTGAACAGAAAAGTAAAACTATAGACGATTTTGAAGCATTTTTATGAATTAAATACTTTTTAATAAGCATAGGCTCATAAAAAAACTTTTAAAAGTATTTTAGAATTATTAAAATTTCTTTTTAAATTATTTTTAATTTATTCGGAACTTTTGACTTGCCTTTTTAACTTTTATTCCACACTTCGGCTTCAGCTTTTGCCCTTTTTACAACCCTGGTGGACTATTGTTATAAAAAAAGCGGCTTCCAATAAAATCCCGCAAGTTAGACATTTTAGACTATGATAATTTCATTACAATAATCTTATTGTGATAATCTCATTATGTTGATCTCATTATGTTGATCTCATTATAATGATCTCACTATGATAATCTTATTATGAAAACCTCATTTCGCTAATTTCATTCTGATGATCTTTTTACAATAATCTCATTATGATAATCTCATTATGATGATCTTATAATAATAATCCTAACATGATAACTTTTTTATTATGATCATTTGATTATGATAATCTCATAGTAGTCTCGTAGTAGTAGTTTTATAATCATAAAAGAATTAAAAAGTTTATCATAGTGTCCTTTGTTCAGTTTTTGTGCTTGGGTGTAAACACACTAAAATATCTGATCAATGACCTCAATTTGATAATTTTTTAAATAAATGTGTTCATCTAGAGCATTACTTGATTGCTAATAAATGATTTGTTACACATCTGTATTATTACTTTCTATACCTCTATTATTACTTGTTATATCATTGAAATAGCATTTGTTTTTTTCTTAAAAAATGAATTCTTATACCTCTGCAGTATACCTTTTGATTTTTAAATGCAAAGTTTATATCGGTTTGCAAAGAACCATTTATAAAACTTACATAAAATTTTGCATAGAATAAATTACCATCATTTTACTGTACCAGAAACCTGCTTTTTTTAATTCTATTTGAAATATTGTTTAAGGGCAGCAAAAAAATATTTTTTATTATGCATTTTAGTGGTTACTCAGTTTCTTCTAGGGAAATATTTGATTTAACTTGGTTTTTTATAAGGGGTGCGTGAGTGAAACAAGGCTATTGGGATATGCCTTGATGAACATTATAATAAATTTTTCAACTATTGCTTTACTTTAATGGTTTTAATATCTCCAGGAGTCAGACTTCAGAATCAGGAGTCAGACTGCAAGTCTTAAAGTCACGACAAACTTCCAAGAGTGTTCTCCCCAAAATCCTTTTTTTTTAAATCACAAATTAAAATATATTTAATTTGTGATTTGGAGGAAAGTGAAAATGTGATATTTAAACAATTGTTTGTAATTTGTTTTATATAAATAACTAATATTACACACACACACACACACACCACACACACACACACACACACACACACACACACACACACATATACCCACATAAGTATATAATTATTATGTACAATTAAATTCAATTTATTAATTAATAAATTACTTATCTTTTTAAAAGTATATGAAAATGAGAAAAAAAAGAATTTTTTTGTTTTTCATTTTTATTTACTTTACATTTTATTGTAAAAGGATCTATTGAGAGAGTGTTATATATTTGAGTTTTAACGAAAATTGCAACGGTCTTATTGTGCTTAGCAACTCTTTTTCTTTATAGAAATATCACTCTAACGATAAAAGGTGCTCTGTATACGTAAAATTACAAGAAAAATGAAAATACTAATTTATATATGTTTAAGTAAACATAGATTTTGGTTATTTAAATTAAAATGTTTTGTTTTACACACAAAAAAAGATTTTTTAAGATTTAGATGGTATTTGTAACAATATAGTAATTATGAGTATATTTTAAATATATTAACTATTATTGAGTTTTAACTTACTAACTACTAATAACTAAAAATTAATAGGTGGTTAAATATATATTGAAATGGTAAGTTTATCTTTATTTGTTAATTTTTTTTATATATTTAATGTTTTACAAATTTTATTAAAAAAATTAGTTTCAATGTGAGTTTTGTAAATTTTTTTATTTCTTTAGTACATTCTACTGATAGTTGTTGTGAGCTCTTTAATTAAGTATTCAGAAGTAAGTTTTTTTTTTAATTATATTATTTTCTCGTGGCATTTTAGTTTATTTTTTTAATTTTAGTTTTTAAGATACTTTAGTAATTTACCGCTGTCCTCTTATGCGAACATCAAATTATAAAATTAAAAGGTAAACTTATTTAAACAGCATTAAAAAGGCGTTTATAACTAATCACCATCACCATGATAACCGCCACTAAAACCACAGTTAATTTGATGACTAATCATAACCTAGTTAGAATCATCTGAGAATACAAATTAGCAGTTTAGTATGTTTATTCACTCTGGTTTTATCAATTAAGCGACGTTATTACTTAAAGGTATAATATTGACGTTAAACGATGATAAAACTTGACAACTATATAGCAGTTTGAACTATCAAATTAATAACTGAAAATAAACTTGAAAAATATTATTCATTCATGTAAACTTAAAATGTTTTAACTTTTAGATTTATACTTAAGTACGGTTTGAACTTTGAGAAACTTTTACGAAAACAACCATAAACTCTGAAAACATGAAACATAGTTTTTATAATCAACTTTGTGGTTTTAAAAGCTAAAAAATAACTTTTGCAAGATGGACTAATTTTTTTCAAACCTATTTTATAAATGTGTGAGACAAATACAGCATATAGTATGCAATAGTACAATAATATATAACATACAAAAATATATGAGTATATAACTTTTAGCCAATCCGAGCAAATATTTTTATTGAGGATTTGCGGTAGATCTACATAGGTATTTTGAGCAATTCATTGGAGTTTTGCTCATCGGTTACTTAGTGGACTATTTTTGGGATCTTAAATCAATGGCTAACCGATAACTTTCCAACATATGATATAGTGACTTTTCACTTTTGGTGCCTGTCACTAAAGGTCCGCAAAGTAACCGATAAGCAAAATTGCAGTTGACTGTTTAAAATACACTAGCAGTAAGCAACCCGTAATACGCGTTGTTAGCAAATAAAATTAAAATAATAAACCGCGTATAGAAAAGCCTAGAAACTACTTTAAAATAGAAAAGCCTAGAAAATGACGTAACTCGACTAATAATAATATTAAATTAGCGTATGCATATTATCAGATTTATAGGTCTACTTAAACTCCGCTATAGAATGTTAGCTGGGGCTCTAGAAATTCTTTAAAACACTTTGTAAAATCATTGACGCAGAATTTACAGCTGGTCTTATTTTATTTTTAGCAAGAAGATGTTAAAATTCACGAGAGAAATGCTCATTTCATGCAAGAAATTAAGTTCACAAAGGACCGGAAATGCATGGACTTCAAAACTCCACCACACAATGGCAGATTAGGAGTAGCTTTGCGTCAATGTCCTGAATGGGTAATAACATTGATTTTCTTTTTTAATCTTTGTGAAAAACAAAAGTAATTACTAGATTCTAGTTGCTTTAGCACTTATGCTAATTATTCTCATTTCTATGTTCTCAGAAACAAAAAGCACAATATTCAACTGATCCATTGCAGCCTCGAATGTGCTTGATATTTGAAGATTTATCTGAAGGTAGCTCTAATGAACTTAAAAGAGATTTCACTATTCTGGTAGATTTTTTTGTACTTTTTTGTTGACGTTTTACTCATTTATTTAATCATTTTATTTGTTTAATTGTTAATCTAGAACAATTTATATTTAAAAAAAGAATTGCATCGAGCTTATTTTTTAAATTTTCTTTCGGTATGAAACATTTTATTTTACTCAATAATTTTATTGTAAACTATTTTTTAGCTAAGACAAGGAGTTCCTGATACCACAGATGTTGTTATAGAGGATACAGCTCTTTTTCCAACTTCAGTTCAAGATATTCGAGCTGTTGATCCGAGTCTTGTAGAGTTTTGCGGTGATAGACAACTAATGTGGGGCAGCAGAGAAATTAAGTTAGAAGATGCTAAAAAGACCTTTTTGATTGAGATGCTTGGTAAGATGTAAACATAAGCAAATAAATATAATGTCGTAAAGTCCATAAAATAACTACATGCAACTTTGTGCACCAAGAAAGTGGTCTCTCATTTTTATGTCCTTCTAGATTTTGACTCAAAATGTATAAAAATAAAATTTTTCTTAATTTTTATCCCTTTTTTCTACAAATTTACATAAATTAACAAAATTGTTCTTACTCTTTTGCTTTTATTACCTTGATTCTTATTGGTTGTTTGTTGTTAAACAACAGTCCAATAAGATGATTCTTGATTCTTATTGGTTGTTTGTTGTTGTTAAATTATAGTGCGTTAAAGAATATTAAATAAGTTAAGTTTCAACATGCTCATAGCACTCAAAAATAACTACTTTCAGGACATTTACACTATTTTATTGCTTCTAATTTGTACAAGTTTGTAACCCAATAATGTCAAATACTTTTTTCATAAGGTTTGAAAATGGACTTTGAAGCGATATTTTTGAAAAATTAAATCAGTATTAATCACAACAATTGAATGAAGGCTACTCTGCACATTGTGAAAATAAACTCACCTTATCAGTTGAACAAAAGACCAAAAAAAACTAAAACAGATAATCAAAGATTATCTGTTTTAGTTTTTTTTGGTCTTTTGTTCGACTAATTTTTTTCAATTTTTAAAAATTTATACTTTTTGAATGAATCTAAAAAGTTTACTTAGCATAGACATGAATCCTTTTTGAAAAGTATTCCATTTTTTTAGTTTAAAATGTGCAACCGTATATTAATATACCATTGCATTAATATATAGAATTATGTGTGCTTATTTAGTTTCAAAGGCAGTTTGATGGTATAATTTATATTTACAAAGAACATCATCAAATATATTTATAATAGTTAAGCATTTTGTGAACTGGTACATAAATTAACTCTTTTTGGTAATTTTTGACTGAAAACCAGGATAAATATCAATCAACAATAACTTCAAATGATCTTGTATTGGCTTTTAATTGCGTATACTTTTTAATAAGTTTATCATTTAAAATAAGATCTGGCGAGATCAACGAATGATTTTTTTCACTTTTTTTTTAATAAAAAAGTGTAGGGGAGAGTGGAGAGAAGTGGGACACGTTAATTTTTTTTAGGGTAATTGCAATATCTTTTTTATTTGATGTATAAACTGAACCAAACAAGTTTTTACGAACAAACCTTTTTTTAGGCACCGATTCAATCCCCTTAGGTTTCCAGCCAATTATAAATAAGTACATAAATTTTTGCTTTTAGAAAAACCATGCCATTTGGGTAAAATGGCATGGTTTCTCTAAAATCATAAAATCACCTAATCGACATAAAAATGTTCAAGAGCTTTTACCAATTGAAATAATCAAATGGCGACGGGAAGAAGCGGGGCATAAATATATTTTTTTTCTGTCCCATTTCACCCCAATGTAAACACTTTTTTAAGGTACATTTCAAAATTAAGGATTTAAGCGAACGCAGGGAAAAAAAGCAATTTCTGCTAAATAGAGGCGAAGAAGTTTAATTGTTTACATTAAATAACAGTATTTAGGCACCACTCCTAATTAGAAATTTCAGGCTGTCCTACTTCTCCCACATCTCACTTCTCCCCACTCTCCCCTAAAGAACTTTTTCTCAACGTTAAGTAAAAGTTTGTTGCGTTAAATTAGAGTTTGTTACGTTAAATAAGAACTTGTTAGCCTTAAGCAAATGATTTACTTTATTTAGCTTAACATTCATACTTGCTATAGTTGCTATCGTTGTATTGCAATTGCATATATTTTATATTATCATTACATATATATATATATATATATATATATATATATATATATATATATATATATATATATATATATATATATATATATATATATATATATATATATACATATATATATATATATATATATATATATATACATACATACATACATACATAGATACATAGATACATACATACATACATACATACATACATACATACATACATACATACATACATACATACATACATACATACATACATACATACATACATACATACATATATATATATATATATATATATATATATATATATATATATATATATATATATATATATATATATATATATATATATATATATATATATATATATTAATTTTCAGCACCAGCACCAGCACCATCTAATAGCCGAAACAAAAAAGAAATCATTAAATCGTTTATGGCATGCGATGCTTCTTCAGTTGATAAAATTAAACTATGTGCTATTTCAGGAAAAGAACCGTATGCAGAATGCAAGTTTAGGAGTAAGCAATGTACTTATAAAATCATCTGTCCAATGAAATATGATTTAAATGGTTTCGACTGCAAGCCAAACCACGTTATGAATAGTGTCATTTGTTGTGATTTTATGTGTTAAAATGTACATTGCATTATATTGTTAAATAAATCGTGCCATATATTGTCGTTATTGTTATCGCCCATACTTTAAATTTTGAAATTATTTAACATAAATTGATTTGTTTTAAGTATATTTCAAAATTATTAAATCACTTTCGCAAATGTGTTATAAATTACGTAAAATACTTTTTTTAATTCTTAAGTTGTTCGCAGTTAATATAACTGCGATATGCGAGAGGTTTGAAAAAAAAAAGATCTAGGATACGCATTAAAATTTAAATGTTGAGATCCCAGATATTTTTTTTTTTTTTTCTGACCTCCCGCAACATAACTGCGAATAACTAAAGAATTAAAAAAAAAAAATTAAAAAGAAAAAGTATAGAAATATTAAACAAAATTAAAATTATTAATTGCTGCCAAAAAAAAAAAAAATAGGCTATAGATTTATAAATGAAATTAAAGTTGTGAACCAAAAATAATTTTTACTATATTTATAAATAGAGTAAAAGTTATATTTGGTTCACAGCTTTAATTTGGATTTCTCAATCTATCGTCTAGTCTTTTTTAGTAGCAATTAACAATCTTAGTATTGTTTAATATTCGTATACTTTTTTTTTTTTTGGCGGGGGGAGGGGGAGGAGGTCCTCACCTCCAAGAATCTCAAAGTGCAGAGAAAAAAATACAAATAAACTAAGACTGACTTTTTAGATGGCTGTAGTTTGAGATTGGAAAATGATTATTTACCCTTACTAAGATTATTTCAGGGTTATATTTTTAAACATATTAACTTAAAAATTTTAATCTTTGATCTTTTTCAAAAATTAAGCTGTTACTTTGTTTAAATTAAAAATTAATTTCTTTCAACTTTTAATTTATCTAAACTTAGTACACCATACTTTGCTGTACACATTATGCACACACGCCACATAATATACTGTGAGCTAAGTTGTTTGTTGAATTTTTTTTATTGTAATTTACCTGAAGCGTAATTACAAGATTAAAAATATAAAATAAAACAAGATAATAAATATAAAATAAAACAAGATAATAAATATAAAATAAAACAAGATAATAAATATAAAATAAAACAAGATGATAAATATAAAATAAAACAAGATAATAAATATAAAATAAAACAAGATAATAAATATAAAATAAAACAAGATGATAAATATAAAATAAAACAAGATAATAAATATAAAATAAAACAAGATAATAAATATAAAATAAAACAAGATAATAAATATAAAATAAAACAAGATAATAAATATAACATAAAACAAAGATCACGCGTAAACAAAAAGTTAGAACAGAAAAATACTTATTGTAAACAAACTATGGTGCTTCATATTGTAAACATTTATATTTTCGTTTCACTAAATGTTAACACGCAAGTTTATATCCATAGAACATAGACCCCATAGAACATAGACTTTGAGCAACGGGGTAAAAGAAACAGATAGACCTGCGTACGGCCTATAAATTAAAAAACATAAGTTAAAAAACAAGATAATTATAAAAGTAATTCTGTTACTTTGTCTTTGTTACTTTAAGTTTATTAAATCTTTAAGCAGAGTTGATCATAAAGACAGTGCGAAGAATGCCCTCACACAGAGTCTCTCACCTTCAGAGGTCTTGCGCCGTAACCATCGTTACCAGAAAATACTTTATTTAACTAATTAATGACATTTTTTAATCTTATTATTATTTTTAGAACCTATTGGATATCTGACGTTGTTTTAACATCTGATGTCAAGTTGTTTAAGTCATTTTAATCATTTATGTTTATTTTTGTTTGCCTCTATTTGAAATGTAAAACAAAAACGTATTGTTAGATTCTTTTACATAAATTATCATTAAAAAGTTACAACATTTTGTACACTTTGATTCACCTCGTTTACACTATTTCCTTGTTTATACGCGCATGCATTATTCCCTAGACTTCAAGATATAATCAAGTGATAGAACATGTCAGATAAAGTAAATAAAAACCTAATTGCCAAATTGACATCAGAGGTGTCCCGAGGAGATACGTTATCCTCTTCTCCCTCCACCCTCCTTTAAAATCTTATCGAGACGGTCTTGATTGACACCATACAGTGAGTCTCTACAAAAACTTCAGCTGAACATTTTATTTGTAACAAAAGTTTTTATAAATTGGCAGAACTATATAGAAAATTAAAAAATATATCTGTAATAACCAATAATTGACTAAAATAGCTGATTTCTTGCGTATAATTTATATATATAGAATTGGCGGATTAAGACTTCTTGGGGCCCGGGGCTATTTTTGTTTTTGGAGGCCTTTTTAAGAGCCAGAGCCTAAAAATTACTATAAAAAAATAAAAGATCCTTCAAAATTTTTGGGGACAGAGGCTAAACACTGTGCCCTCCTCCTCCACCTTGATCCGGCACTGATATATAGAATGATACTTAAAAATTCTTATGAAACATATTACTTAAGGATATAAAACTTCATTTCACTCACAGTTCATTCTACTGTACGATTTTACTCACAGTATATTGAAAAGTTTTCGAGCGTTAATTCCTCGTATATTTCAACAAAAAGATTAAAATAGAAAAAAAGAATAAATGTATAGTGAGAAAAAAGCAGTAAAAAGTCTACATTAGCTAAAAACCATCTTTTGGGTAATTATTTAATGTGGAAGACTTGATTTAATGCATATCCAGTGGACACGGGACCAAAAAAGACCAATGATATTTTCGTTCGGAAAATAATTCCAGTTTTAGTTTTTATTAGGGCTACAGAATTTTGAAAAACTTTAATCAATAGTTATAACTAAAAAAAAAAATTTCCTCAAATTTGGTAATTAAAAAAACTAATGAATAGTTTTTTGATTGATTTTAATACTCATATATTTTGCAAAAAAAATAGGGCTTGGTGATTATATGGTTATCATCTATACTAGATAAGACATTAGTTTTAAGAAAACTCGCATTTCCAATGACGCTCACATTTCTCCGTCCATTTGTAAACAAGCCACAGGTTCAAAAAAGACTTTCAACATATGCTTGAAGTGCAGGAGCTACAATGGGGTATTCAACAAATTATGCAATTTGCGGGTAAACGGCGCATTTAATCTTCTAGAAATTTAAAGTATTTTGCCACATTGAGCTAGGGCTGTGGAGTCGGAGTCGGTGTTGTGGAGTCGCGGCATTTTTAGCGGAGTCGGAGTCGCTAAACAAAAACGCAACTCCGACTCCAATAGTAAAACTTCTCAGCATTGCATGTGCATGTACAAAATATTCAATAACCTTATATTCATATTAAATCTTCAAAGAACTTTTCTTAATTTTGGCAAAAATTGTTTTTTTAAATTATCGCGTAATATTTTCTAAAGAATTCAAAGAATTTTTTCAAAAACTTTGCTTTGGAGTCGGAGTCGAAGTCGGATTTGGAGTCGTACTCTAAAAATTTAAACGATTGGAGTCGGAGTCGGAGTTGGTACTTTTTTTTACGACTCCACACCCCTGCATTGAGCTGTTCTTTATTTTATTAAAGTATGCTTCATTACATGGAACAAGTTTTATTATATCTACTTGTTATTTTGCCGCTAAAAATTTCCGTTTTGTTAGTTCATTCATTGTTGGAGCAATCTCAGCAGAACCAGAAGATGCACTTGATGAAAGTAAATCGTGTTGCACCGATTTTTTGGTCTTTTACAAAATGTGTGTCTTGGCACGCTCTTCGATTTGTGTATGCTTAATATAAGAGCTATTGCACACATGAGGTCAAAAAGACATGCAACACTTGTCAGTGGATTAAAATTAGGATCGTTTTGCTGCAAAAGAACTGCAAACCGACAACGTAGATCTGCGAGCATTTTAACTGCTACATCTTTGGCATCTCCAAATTGCTTAAGGTGGCATTCTAAATAAAGTATTGAAGGTATAACACTGGATAGAGAAAGTGCATTCTTATGGAGACTTCGTTGGTAGATGCCTTCATTTCCAGAATTCTCCGAACCATTAAAGAAGTGCTGTTCCATCTTGTAAAACAGTAAAAAAAGTCTTACCGCATATGTTGATAACTTTTTCTAAAACCACAGAAGGTTTGCAAGTTTTTCCCATTAGTCCGCGTACCTTCAAAAGTGATATTTACCATTATATGCCATGATACATTGCCATCATATGCCATGATATTTACCATCATATGCCATGATATTTACCATCATATGCCATAATATTTACCATCATATGTCATGATATTTACCATCATATGTCATGATATTTACCATCATATGCCATGATATTTACCATCATATGCCATGATATTTACCATCATATGCCATGATATTTACCATCATATGCCATGATATTTACCATCATATGCCATGATGTTTACCATCATATGCAAGTTTTACAACTAGCTGTTTAACATGTGCTTAGCATTCCAATTTTCTAAATGCTATGTTTTTAACTATTAAGTCAACTTGTTCCCACTCTTCACTAATTGTCATATTCCTGTGGTCTTTCGGATCTGTTATCTGCTCTTCATTAACCACATTTTCTCATTCAATAAGTATGTCAGGTTGTGCTTTCATTCTCAACAGCTTTATGCCTTTGACCATATTAGCTCAATTGTCCGAAATAACAAGCAATATTTTTTTCTGGAATTATTTCAATACTTTAGGCATTTTTCAAAACAATCAGCAATTTGTTCACCTGTATGTGGATGTTTCACAAAATACAAATTAGGCAGAGCGTGTACTGGCTTTTTATATTTGCATTGAAAAAAACAAACGGAAATTCGCCTGCCTTCATATAAGAGGTCACAAAGTTTTCTCTTTAAAACCGTATGTTTTTCGTTAAGGCCCGCCTTCATCTAATGCTCCTTATCCCCATATAATTTTTTTCACTTAATATCTTTAATTCCGACTCTTCCAGCTAAACGTGTACAGACATATGGTTTCTTGCTAAATGCAGCTAGAAAAAGATAAACAGTTTTGTATAATTTTTTTATTTGTATATATATTTTATTTATCTATCTATTTATCAACCTATCTATAAATAAGCTCGCATACGTTTTTGAATATTT